TTAACCCTTTAACGTCCGCTTTAGGGATTATCGTTCCTTCAGGAACGATGCTTCTAAAAATTACAAGTTTCAGAGATCGCAAAAGAAGACCACCAAATGTACTCCATGACAACAGCTAGTAGTATAACTCTATCTTAGAGTTAAAAAGATTTCAAATCAAGCGCGATACTTGGGCAAAATGGACCCCTGAAAGATAGGAATGCCCAAATTTCGACTTTTTGGTGCACCAATAAGGCTGGGAATCACGTCTTTTCGTCTCCAGTTTTAGAGTCAAAATCATCTTTTGCAAATCGAAATTCTACGTTTTTTGAAATTGCCCATTCCAGGTCTTTAGTATTTTTGCATTTTTGTTTGGTGGAAGTCCCCACAGATCTAGCCACAGGCCCGTTTTTGAGACCCAGCACAGAAAACACAGATTTCTCACTTGTGGGTTCGAACTGCATCATGGGAGTGATGTTCAATCTCGACAGGGAGCATCCAACGGTCTTGTTTTCATAGATTTTTTTTAAGTGTCAAGCCACTCGCACCTACAGGCAAAATATTGCACCGATTGCATTCTTTGGATGTTCAAACTTGCCAATTTTACCTTGGTAGGTTCTGAAATCTGCCACAGAACGACTAGGGAGGCGACCTTTCTCTAACGTCGGCAATTCAAAGCTAACTTCGTATTGGCGACATTGTCTTCGAAAAATCGCTTCCCGCCTCTGATTTCTTCCAGAAGAGTGTGTCTGCCGCCTAGTCGAGCTTTATGATGCAGTCCTAGGGGCTTCTGTGGCAGCAAATGACTCGAAAAATCACTTCAAAACGGTTTTTGGGCGAATTTGAGAGCGAGTGCTGGCTAATTTAGCGACCCGTCTCAAATTCACCGGGCGTCGCTGATGTAAACAAACTCATAAGAATGTGAGTCTACAATAGTTTACAATATTTTTTGAAATATCACTCTCAAAATCAACCTTCAATCCGAAAATAAATCGCGGACGTTAAAGGGTTAAAGGAAAATGTGCAATATATAGATACAAATGTCTACTATTTTTTAAGGCTCGTAATTTATGAATCTCTTGCATGTAACTTCAAAAGAAGTTTTAACTGGAGGACAAAACAAAAGATTTTTGTTTTAACTGGAGGACAAAACAAAAGATTTTTGTCCTTTTGGGAACAAAAACCCATGTCTTGTCGTCCAGTCGGAGCTGCATTCCAATGAACTGTCACTGAATAGAAAATTCCATCAGGCTAGTACCTTTCTCGGGGTTTTATCTTCAGGTTAACGTGGTCTTCCAGAACAATTCCAACATCAGCGTCCTCGTTTTGAGCAAGCCACTCAGTGTCGTTAAGCCTTATATTTAAAATAAAAAGAAAATAGAAATAATTTTTTTTGTGACCATAAAAATAGGCCATCATATTTATGATCTTAATGACATGATTTCTTTTTCACAAACAGTTACAAACCTTTCGATGAGTGTCATTCGTCTATTTATGTTGAACGATAAATATCCCGACTTGTTCGKTACAACTTTGAAGGTTGAAGATCCTACTTGATATACAATCTATATGGATCAATGCAATTGCCCTATTTCATTATGACGTCACAGAATGTTTACATCGGAAAACGATGCTCAAAAACAGTGGAAATWTGGACKCATTTATAWTGTCTACTAAAGTAGAACTTCAATGAATCGTGTTTTGATATATATCATGTATACATGATTGTTCATGTACATTTTATTTGAAATGCAGTCACTCTGATCCCTTCTGGCGACCATAATCCTTAGCGTTAAAACAATAGAATGTGAGGAGTGTTGCGTGCTAAAATACTTAATGTAGAGGTAGTGAGTGTGAGAGTACAGGGCCCGCAGTAATTGGCTCACGCTGTTGCGGTGTCCCTGCCCATACTAGGGGCAAAGCTAATAAATTAAAATTAAATTAGAATGTTTTGATGTGACGTCATAATGAACTAGGGCAATTGCTTAGTTCATGGATCACACCTTCATTATATTATGTATACAGGGTTCAGAGTTTTGTCTTTAGAATTGGATGAATCGAATAATGTTTTAGGAAATTCAGGTTCTCCAAGCTKAGGAGSMGMCGRSKKGTTKKYRGMARWA